CGCCGAGGAGCGAGATTGGACATTGCTCGAGCCTCGCATTATTTCTGCGTCGTAACGCGCAATAGAGTTCTTGATTTAACGCGCCACTCGGCCGTGGATTCCTTCTTCGGCCGGGCCCGACGATCATCGTAAACGGGGAGCTGTGGGACGCGTGGTGACAGGAGGAAGGAAATTTCGCGTGCAGAAAATGGAGGAAACGCGAGAGGGTAGCGGAAGGTAGAGATGGTACGAGCCACTCGGGGTATTTGCATCGAAACGATAAGTTTATTCGGCTCGACCACGCGTAGTCCGCTTATTAACGCGCGAATTTTCGTGCTCGACTTTTTAGGTTAGGTCGATCCGCGCGGAGACATAAACGCCGCTGCTGCCTGTCGTCCGTTAACGAACCGCGATCCGTGATCCTTTGTCGTGTGGCCAAGGAGAGATCGTTCCCGTTCCATCGTTGTTCCACGTTACCTGCACGGTCCGAGGAATTGCCGGCGAAATTACCGTCGGTGTCCGCTTGACAATGTCGGCGTAGGACGTGGGAATTTGTGGCCGGCGATAGGTCAGCAATGAACGCCTATTTAAATAGTCTTGATAGAGGTATCGCGAATGGAATTACGGGGAACGGTAATATTTCGCATTCAGTGTCCGGGAGGAAGTATTTCGTTATGATTTTTCCCTCGCCTAGAATGCCACCATTTTTCTCCACATTTTTCTCATTACTCCGCCATTCCGACGTATTATTCTCGTCGCACGCGACAAAATGGTGACGCACTCTGCGTTTCGCATTGCTACTCCGATAACTTCGAGGCGGTTTGTCGAAACGGTGAAATAATCGTGATATTTCGAAGCAGGTTTGATTTTAACGCGCCAAGATTGGTACTGCGAGATATCGTAGATGAAAGTATCGGAAGAAATGGTCAATTATGAAATTTTCGGATTAATTTATTACCTCGAGATTAGAGGATACAAGTTGGGAGATGGTTTGTCGTGGTTTCGGCAATAGCGATGCTCGTAATCGAGGCACTCGTAAACCGAGATCATTCGGCGAAAGCTTATACGACGCGAGTACAATTAAAATTTATAGCAGGAAAATTTCGAACGACGTCGTTAAAGAAGCAGGAAGCTCTTCATGGCAATACTCGTAACGAATCGTCTCTCGGTTCGACGTTCCCCGATGTGACACCCTGTGCCACGTATTTCCGAATTTGTATCCGCGGGAATAAAAATCTTTATTCGTGCACTTGCTCTTTTACGGTACTCTCGTAAAGTAAATGGAATTCAAGCGTACAGGTGTGCAGATCCGAGTGAATGGGACCACGAACTCGCGCGTTCTTCGACACGGGCTATTTAAAGTGGCCATATAACGACACCTGCGATTTGCCATATTTCCACGTTAACGATTAATGTTTTACGATGCTATCATTTAAACACTTTCTATGGTATATAAATTAATATTTAATAGACGAAAAAACGCGCTAGTAAAGTATCGCGTACAGTCATTCGGATTTATCATACCAGACCGCGGAGGGTGTGGCCAACTATTATTCAGAAAAAGAATGCAACTGCCGGTAATCAACCATTGAACGAAGAACTCTCGCGTCGACCAAAGAATGTATATTCAATGTTAATGGCGAAAACGTGGAATTATATTCAAATGCGTGTTTCGCCTAACGAAACCTGCCTCTATCGACCGCAGCGCCACCCTTACTTTCGAATTCACCAGCGTGTCATAAAACTCCCTATCGTTTCGCGAAATTACAAGTCACTCGGTGGAATTTCTTTCGAATTCCTTCGCCAGGAATTCGCCAGGAATTCGCCAGGACCGTTCGCAAGGATTGTTCGCCAGGACCAGAAGGAATAGAGAAAAGGGATCGCGAGATTTATCTCGAACGATCCCGTTGCGGACTTATTTAATTGTCAGCGAATGACAAATTTAATACCGATCGACGATCCATCGTCGGAATCGACGTCTCGTCTCGCGGGAAAACACGGCGGTCGGTGAAATTCCAGTCGACAACTGGCTGTCACCGGGACGGCGTGGGACGTGGGAATTTGTGGCTCGCGATAGGGAGGCGAGGGGCGTCAGAATGCTTGGCAAATAGCTTCGATACCGATGCCTCGTAGTATCGATACCTCACCCTGATCAAATGGCATTCTCGAGCACGTTGGACACGGCCAGTTGATTCGACTGAATTAAAACGGCCTCGAGACGCGTGTCGTTCTTATCGCTTGGAAATTATTGCCGGTAATTTACTCGCGATTGCATGGATCCCGCGAGACTTCACACCTGGATGGCTAGATCGCGAAGGAACACGGATCACCTGTGTTAATTGCCGGTGTCTGCGAAGCTAGCGCCACCGCGGCGCCCCGAATCTCCAGACACAAAGCTCTCGCGACGTCGAGCGCCAGTTTCCAATATTTTTCCATCTTCTCTCACGCTCTTTTCACATTTTCCTTCTCTTTCCTTTGCTTTCCCGAGCCACGAATACGTACACGATCGTCGCCGTTGCGAGCGAGACGCTAATCGTATTCCCGCTAATAAATCAACGTCTATCGAGAAACTGGTCTACGAAACCAGGCGGACCTGGCATTTCAGCGTGTGTTTTGATTATTGCGTAAAAATTAATTAAATATCGATGTTGCATATCGCCGTCAGAGGTGTAGTTAACGGGCGTCACAGGCCCCGACAGGCAGATATACAACGGCGGACGCATGGCTAATCACGGTTTTGCGGAATCGATTCGAACATGGACGGGGCGTAGGTACCAACGGCTCTCTCGGAGAGGTCTGGACACAGCTCGCGTGTTCCCGTCCGTTCCTGTAATTACCCACGCGTATTTTCCATCGTTCAATGTCTCAATTTTACGCGGATGCAACAACGAAACGCCGAGTTTCACCTCTGTGTCAAGCGTCCGAACGTTTTCTGTTTACGAACCGCCACTTTCTAGCTATATTATTACCGCTATCTGCGATCTCTGCCGTGCTCTAATTAAAAGTTCGATCGATTAATTTCACGGTACAGCGGCAAAGTGTAATGACACATTTATCAACCACGGCCGAATTATCCGATGCAAATAATTTTCCTATTTGACTTCCTACCCACGCGCCGCTTTTTGCGGATTCTAGATTAACTCGCAGCCCCAATGGCCGCTGCGCGCAAATAGGATCGCGCTCTATCTCCACGACAAGCGCCTTCCCGAATAATTATCCCGATTATTATCTCGATCACCTCGTTGCGATTATTACGCCGAAAAAATATAATCCATTACTCGGAAGAAAAATCGGTAAATCGTGATCACTCGATATCGACGAATCCATTACTCGTTTCTCAATTCCCCAATAGCCTACGCGATTTCGCATTCCCCTCGCAACGCTGACAGAAGAATCTGTTACCAGTTGCAGCTGGTGAGCCGCGAGTTTCTCGCGTGGAAATCACGAAATCGCTGTGACGTTGCTCGAGCATCATCGTTCACCTGTGAAATCGCCTGACATATTGGGTGCCGACAGGTTGCCGCGATCCAGACATCCGGCCATTTTCTAATGTTACGTCTGCGCCTCGCGGACCGACTCGTGTTCTCATGCATAACTTTATTGTTGGCGGACTCGGTGAATGAAACGGCAGTCATATCATGTCCTATAAGTATCCCACTTGACTCGGGCACAATCGATACACACGATCTCGCTGTAGATCGTTCGATCGTGATTCAAGTGCCCGCGATGATAGAGACTCGTTGGCCCGTTGAACTTTAAAATGCCCGCCGTTCACGTGAAATCCGTGGATCTGATTCCGCAGGGAGCTCGTTCCGCGTGCGAACCTTATCCCATGGAAATGGGATAGAACTACCTAGCCCGTGAGATGGAAGATGGAGGGGGACCGAGTTTCGTGGTAATTATGAAATCCACGTGTGTTACGGGAGACGTACGGTAGATATGCACAGTGTGCCTGTTCGTGGTTCGAGCGTTGCGAAATCGATTGTCCGAGTAGACGGAGGAAGAGAATCGCGTTAATCGGTCTAACGATGTAAAACGATCGAGACAGAGAAGAGCGACCGAGCAGTGGTAGCCGAGAGAAATAGAAAATGGAAGGAGGTACAAACCGCGGCGGTAATTTCAGATTAGCCTTCTCGCGTTTCGGCGGGCAGACTAATCTGCGAAATATAATTAGCCCCGGTGACTAACGCGAACGGTTCTGCTAAATTTAGCCAAATGCAATCATAACAGCGCAGGTGGCCATTTTACCCTTTTCAAGTGTTTGACAAGCCGGGATTATACGAGTCTCTACGCTGAGCGTAGCTAGTAGTGAGTCACACTAGAGCTAATTATAATCCTTTCGCCTCTAGGTATCCACCAGGTCTACCCTTTTGTTCTCTTTCATCCTTGCAAACGCTAATTTCTATCCCCCGCGATAATGATATTAATTATGGGCCCCTTCGAAGAGCAAATACGGATTAAAAGGGTAGGAAGCCCTTTAGTTTCCAACCGGACTATAAATCACCTCGCTGATTGAGAACTTACGCTTCTTGTTCCGTCCTTGAGGTACCTCTGTGTCCCGCGATGTTGCAGTTAATCTTCAGACGTACAGAGTTAATTCGTACAATTTAACCGTGAATTTTATTCCAACGGGATTCCGTTTGAAAATTTATCGGAAACGTATATTTTGGTAATTAAATAATTTTGTTCCGCGGAATTATCGGTGAACTCTTCGTGCCCTCTCTACGGAGATATTCGAGTTTGCTAAATTTATTACGTGTTCGGAGAGTGGACAGCCGAGTGCACAGGGTTAAAAGACCGTGAGATAAGTGACTCCGAAGTTGAGCGAAACAAATAGAAACACGGTTTCGAAACGTCTGTATATAACACACGGCGCCACGATACAATTTCGATAAACCGCATGATCCCAGGGGTCATGGAAGTAGCCGAGCCGTATCAGCGTGTCGCGAACCTTCCTTTAATTATATAGCTGACTCGCCTCGCGTCGAATCGCACTGATCGTTACGTTACTGCTGTTACAGGTGCACAAGAAAATGCGCGTGAGGTCAAGGTGACGGTAGAGCATGGAGACCATGCAAGACAGCGGCGGGCTGCATGTCGATGGCTCGAAAGGAAGTGTCGCGTCGGGTTTGCCCAGCTCGAAAACGGCGAATCAGTTGAAAATAGTGGAAAGTTGTGATGAAAGTGGCAAGCTGCTGACCGCAACCAAATCGGAGATGGATCCATACAAGGAGTTGGAGCTGTATCTCGCCAAAGTCAACGTGAGTCTTTCATTTCATCTTTTTCTACGTGATCTCTATTACAGGGCGAGATTATTTCACCGTGGGAATGATGAGATTTGTATAGAGGGGAGCGAGGAACGTTTGGGTCGGAGCGATAGATGTGCAAATGAAGAGTGCCTGGTCTAGGGAGTTAGAGGTTAGAGGTTAGAGTGTTAAAGGCCACCCAAGGTCTTTTTAAAGGACCACCCAAGGTTATATGGTTGGGAAAATGCGTGCGCCAGTCGGTCGAGACTTGGGAATCGAGAGTCGAATGTCGGCGAGGAATCAGAGTCGAGAGTTGGGCTGAAGATTTCAGCCAACGTTTGACGTACACTCGTACGCGAAAGTATTCCAACGATTTGACACGTTCAACCACTGAAACATCCGTGTTATATCGAAATTGTTCGAACGATTTGGTGCGCGTAGTAAGAGAGTAATCCTCGGATTACATCGGTAATGTTAGAAAAATAATTCAAGGATACATACGGTATGTGTAGTACGTCATTGGAGATACGGGCTCTGGTGGCGCTAGTGAGTTAATCGGAAAATCCTCTTAAGACTGTCATAGCTAACGAAAGACGAATCAAATTTAGATTTATTATTTCTGAATCAACGATGCTTTTGACCGATGTTACACGTACGTTGGATACTTTCGTGTACGAGTGTACGCTATTCGTAAAGTATCCGTTTGCAACCTATCATTCCCAGGTTGAGCAATAATTCTGTTTTGCGAAAGATGTTTTCTACGCTCGTTTACCGAGAATCTTGGAGGTTTGGCGTTTAATATTCGAGAAAATTGGCATCTTTGACGCTGATTCATAATTTTAATCATCGTCGAACGTAAGCGACGTTTTTAATGAAGCGTTAATACGATCTCGTTCACCGGACGAAACTCTTCTTCGACACGACACAACACGGTTCGGTTAGGAATCGATCATCTACTTTATCGATGTTCCCGCCGAGACCATGCACAACAAATTGAACGTGACGCCATGATCGCCGTGCAAGATTCCAAAACACGTTTCGTCCATGACCGCCTGGTCCAACTCGTCGCCTTCTTGTTTCCTCGTCCTTTCCTTTTATTCTGCCTTTGCCTACCGCTGTATACGGTTGTTTTAGAGGCCTCGGCTACAGAGCTAAACGCCTTGAATGACACCCGAAAGCGTTAAGCCAGTTTTCGCCGTCGAGTTTTGTCTTTCAACGTCCTATCCGTTTCGGGCTCGAAGTCGCATTAAATTCTTGTCCCTCGAAATTCGTTCTCGTCCACTTGGGTAGCCAAGGAATTTTAATACCCCGAGCGTACATTCTCCTTCGTTAAAAATAGTCCACGATCGACTTTGACTGTTATACTCGCCGTATATCACTCGCTTTATCGTCTAATCTCTATCTTATAACTATTAACCATTATAACGCTTGCACCTTTTCAAAAACATGGCAAGTAAGACACGTACGGTACGCGCGAGCGATATTGCGCGCTCGTAAATTATTGTATTAAGCGGCGGCTTCGATCCGTACGAGAATAACAGCGTCCAAGTGAAATTCTCGGTTATCTTGGAATCTCAACCCGGCCAGTTAACTAACATTTACTACCGATTTACGGTTATTACGTGCTATTCGATATTTCGAAAATTTAAGAATCGCCAGGGAACTTTAACATCGGCAGAAAGGCTATCGAAATTGCGTAAACTCGTTTCGAATAGATTAGAACACCTTTGCGCAAATTCATCCTCATCGAGGTTTCACTTAAATCGAGGATTTTATTAGCCGTGGAAGCCATCCATACCATCCTCTCTCTCTTTCTCGTACCTACTCACCTGGATCAGTTCGCAACCGCGGCAAGTAGCCCTGACCATCGGAGCCCTGAACGTTGATCGATACTCCGTAGCGGCTAACACCGCGTCATTCGAATCGTATCACAAGCAAACGATCGCTCGATCGCCGCTTATTATCCCGTCGGAATCCCTCTTACTCTCGTCGGTCGCCTAAATTGGTACACCTGTTCCAGAATCTCGGCCCATCGAATTAAACGGGCCGAGGCGCGGCGGCACGAGAAAAAGGCGCGCGCGACCGGTTCCCATTCGCGAGAGTCAAAAGCTTGTACGTGGCCGCGTACACGGGATCCACGGCGCAATTATTTCCTCTGGAGCGTGTCGGCGCGTCGATGTAGCCCGTCTAAGTGGCGTGTAGACCGGTGCATCGCTGATGCACCGATGCATGTCGACGCCGCAACGCGGGCATCGAGCCGATATTTGCACGGCGCAAACAGAGGATTCCAATCGGTCGACACACGTAGCTGCACGCCGGACTCCGCTTCGAAAAACCAGTCGACGCGGAAGCGGTCCGTCATCCTCCCACTATTTCTGCCGCGTTACGTGCTTCGCAATTTTCTCCCGACCTCGAGCCTTCGTTTCCGTCTTCCGTTGCAGAAAATGGCCGAGAAAACGGCGAACTCAGGGCTAGAGTCCATGTCCGGACGTTTCGAACTTCGGTTTGCTAGCTAGCTGGCTACGTGACTGGGAGCCGCTGCTGTTCTATCAGGCTGGTTAAGTTTCATATAGACTCGATGTCGATGTTCGTGTATCGGGACAACGCGTTTTTCCGATGTTTCGTGATCGGTATTTTTAAATTGCCCATACACGCTCGTACACGAGAGTATTCGGCTTACATTCGCTGCGTTCGGTAAGTGGAATATGTACGTTAAATGAAAATGTTTAGAACGGTGTGGTACATCTAGTAAGAATGGGTTAGATCGTATCTGGAAAATTGGAAAAATCATTCGCGGTACTTTGGTGGAGATACGGGCCGTGGTGGCGCTAGTGAGTTAACTGCAAATTCTTCTTAACACTGCTATATGATACAGAATGAATTAACGTGATATGGAAACTTCTGATCATTTAATCAATGACGTTTTCGACTAGGAATATGAATATTATATAATAATTATGGCAAATGCCACATATTTCGAGTCTTCATTCTCTCTATGCACCTCATAGTAAACGTTCGAATGCTCGTACGCAGGAGCCTACACGTGTAATATATTTTAGTTTGTCCGAGTTTACTCGGGTTCGAGCATCTCTCGATCCTTTCCATCCCGTTAGAAGAATCCAGTTGACCAAGTTCTATATGCTAGTATTTACCGAAAGCGTTAACGCGTCAGATTATAGGCGTTGCATAATACACGCGAGTAGATTGAAGAGCAATCGCTCCGTTCCCCGGAGGAGGCTGTCACTGCACAGTTTCAGCCGTCGAAAGCATCGCGTGCTTTTTTCACGCGATGGATCCCAGCAGACGGAGAGATTTGGTCAAGGCTGCTCTCTCGGCCAAGTAGCTCCCCACGGAGCTCAGCCGTCGATCCGATGCTATACCCTGCGTTCCTCGATTGCCAGAGTACGACAGCTTCTCCGAACCCTTCGCGTAGGAATATCCCGTGACAGGAAAGGGAGGAAGAGAGTCGGAGGTGAGAGGTCAGACGCCTGACGAAAATGACTCGTGGACCGCGAGAGCGTTCCACTCGGGCCCCGGATGGCCCCCGTGGACCCTCCAGTTCGCACGATGGCGAGAAAAAGCAAAAACGCTCGTGTCATCGGATGCAAAAAGCGTCAGAGTTCCGTTTAAGTCATCTGTTGCTCAGCTTGTCGTTGATCGAAGCGACCGCCTCTTCTTTCTAGGCGAATGACGCGAAACTGTACAGCTTTTTTCCCCCAACCGCCTAGATAGTCGCGGCTTTGTGGCCATGTTCACCGACACGGAGTCATGAGCGGATTAATTGCTTCGCGGGTAATTAATTAAGCGGTTACGTTGAACAGCCGGAATTAATTGGACAGATGCTACCCGCCGTAACTGGCGAGTGCGTCTCTGCAAAATGCTCGCGTTGCCGTCGGAGGGGGAAGCAACGGGGTATTAGCGAGTGTCTAAACATGTCTCAGCGGACACTCGTGGTAAATTAATAACGAGATATTAACGTAGGTGAAGAGGTTTTATCGATTCGCTTTGTTTTTCTCGCGTTTCGGACCTGAGTTATGCGTTTGTACAAGTTACGCAGTTATGCAAGTATTTTTCCTCTGACGCAAATTGCGGATTCCTTTTTTGCGGAGGAACAGGCTTCGTTGGAATTAATGCGCGATACGTTTTATAAATTACAGAAATACACGCGTCGAAACGCTTGCTCCGAAGGTTAGGTATAAAACGAAATTCAATAATCCCCGGCGTAATTGCTCGAGGTAACAGAAATTTACGGTTCGCTATGTTAATCAACCGCGAACGCTATTACCTAGATGGAAAATATTTCGACTCGGCAGTAGTCCATCTAATTTCGCCTCGCAATTAATCGGGCCGACAGCGTAACCGCTTAATTAACCAATTAAAATAACGAACAGTTACTTAAGTCCAGAGCTTGCGCGGGTTAAACGCCATTCTGGATTACGTGCAACTCGCTCGAAGCTGCCGGACAATTAATTAATGAAAGTAATTCGCCGACTGGCCAGTTGGATTAATCGGTTAAATTAATTGCTCGGCGACCGTTGGCCGTTTCGAAAGCTCGACCGAGGAATTGGTTGCAAGGTTAGCACTCGCGGAGGCCTGCGAACGATGCATAAACAGGATCCCTTGTTGCTTGGTCGCGAGAGAAATGAATTAGCGCATCCGCTTCGATGAAATCCCATCAGAGCTGATCAGCACCGGACTCCAAAGTCCAGACCGATCAAGGAAACTCGTTTCGACCGTGCCAAATTTAGAGTCGATCTTGCCGTTTATCCATGTTCTCGATGCCTCCAAGTGGCTTTCGTCGAAAACGTTCGCAACCTCGAGGATGCTCGGTAATTGCATCGATGGTTCCCTGGAACGACGACTTTAGACCCCCTCGAGCGGCTGCAGAGCCACGCAAGGTGTGAGTTTAGCAAACACACTGTCCACAAATTGATCTTCTTCGAGTACCGTGTAATACCAAACATCGCGCGAATTTTTATTACTTCTGCAAAGATATTACAGGAATTACGAGCATC